AGTCCTGTCATGGATGTAGACTTGGGCACAGGGTCAGATCCTGCATTTCTCATTGCCTGGCTCTGAGTGACCCACTCGTGACAGCAGAGAGGACAGAGCTGAGCTGCCCTGCACGGCAAGGAGGGTGGTGAAGATGGATGGGGCTGGCCCAGCTGGGTCCTGCCCTGCTGGGACTGCCTCCAACCCTGGGAGAGGGTTGCCAAGCCTGTCCCCTCATGTGCCCCGCACTCAGCTCTCCAGCCCACGCACGCAAGGACAAGGTGAGGTCCCCCAATTTGATGATGCTGTATCCCCAGCTGTACAAAAGGGCTGGGGGCACATCCCTTAGCATATGCAGCACCCCACAGCCACAGTGATGGGCTGAGCTCCTCAGACTTTGCTGCCCCTTGTTAAGGCCCTGATGTAGCATCTTGCCCCCAGGCTGGTCCCCAAATGGGCCATACACACCCTGAGAAGCACCCATAGAAGCTGTGTGACCCTCTGGGATTAGCAAAGGCCCCAGTACTGGGCTGAAAACCAGCTCAGAGTGATCCCTGAGCTCCTCACATGGTAATTTGGAGACTTCTGGCTGAGTGGTTGCATGTCACAGCCTTGAGAGCGGTGCTCAGTCACCTCGAAGCAGGAGGAGGGAAGAGGTGACCTCAGTGCCTGGCTGCTTGGGGTGCAGGAAGGGCCAGCCCCATGGCCACTGTGAGGGCCACCCCAACCCCACCTGTGGGCTGCCCTTGACCGGTCCCACAGTACGGAGCATCCCTCCACCACGGCTGCACGCATTGCTCGCCCCGTGCCGCACCAATGGCAGGGGTATTTTTAGCCTGGAAAAGCGCCACAATATCATAGAGTGACATTAGCTGGAGTGGGGACCAACGCCTCGGTTCACCTTGCAGTCTCCTCCAGGTCACCCTGCCTGGCTCGCTGAGGCACTGGGTCCCTGCCAGCACCGCCACATAAGCACCAAGCACACACTGGGCTCCCCAGCATCATCACCATCCTGTCCCCTCCTTCCATGCCATGGTGCCACCTTCCCCTAGGAGCAGCCTCCAAAGTCCCCATGACCTTCCTGGGCCACTGAGGGGATGTCCTGCCTGGTCCCACTGGTGACTACACCCAAGCCCCTTGCCCTGCTGAGACGTAAGGAGCGTGGGGCTCTCTGCCCATGTCCTGGTGCCAGCCAAACCAAGTCTCCCAGCCAGAGCAGCACCGCAGTTATCCATGCCTTAGGCACCCATTTGTCACCCTGAGGTGATTTCTGCTCCTGCTAGGGAAGGAAAGCACCCAGAGCCCATTATACAGCTTCTCCAGGAAAAGACAGGACCAGCACCACACTGGGGAACCGGATGAATGTGCCATTAGAAGAGAACAAAACACCCAGGCTGGGTACACATTGGGTGACCAGGGAAGGCTGCAGGCTGGGAGCAGTGAGCCATTGAGAATGTGTTGTCCATGGCATTAATTTCACACCTGATTAAAGGCCTCACAATGTTTGTTTTGGGACAGCCTGTCACCGTGTCCACCCCAGGGCTCTCCTCTCCTTGAACACAGGGAGGCTCCTATTTGTTTTGCTGCTTTCCTTGGACACAGCCAAGAGACTGTGTCTGCTGCCTCTTTCACTGCTCAGAGGATTAAAACATGGAAAGGGGAACTGGCATATCCCTAAACGAAAGGCACAGAGGCCTTGAATCTTTCCCAAGGAACAGTTTGCTCCCCAGTGCTCATTAAGCATTTAAGCAACCAGTGCAGAGCAGAAGCGCAGAGCAGCACTAGCACGCTGGCTGCAGAGCCCTCTGCGCTCAGCAACCCCGTTTCACACCTTGGCTCCTGCAAAAACATCCCAGTCCTAGGGTAAAAGGGAGAGGAGGATGTCCAGAGCCAGCTGGGTTGGCTGGGAGCCTTGGGAGAGGGGACAGAAGGCAGGAGGGAATTAGATGGGGAATGGAGGTGCCTCCTGTGTGGTGCTCTCTGATTAAAAGCAGTGTCAGAGAGCAGCTGCCTTTGCCCTGATGGATCTCAGAGCCATTATCCTGTCTTTGCTGGCTGAGATGCTGAGCATGTGACACCCCCAAACCTGCCCCTAAGCTGCTATCAACCCGTGCCCCAGAGCCCCTCAATCCCTCTGTGCCTGCTGGAGGGGAGCTGGAGCAAGTTGCTTAAAGCCCACCACAAATCTGTGCCCACCTGAAGCTTCTGCCCCTCCTGGTGCTGCAGGATCTCCTGCCTCTGGGGTGAAGAGCAAAGCATGTTCCTTCACTCACTGCCTTCCCTCCAACCCACTCCCAACACAGCACAAAACTGTTCACCCCCAAATGTTTTCTAGAGGTTGAATCACGCAGCCCTTCGGAATGGTGCTGTCTGCATGCGAATGCACTACAGGGTTTATCAGGCAGGATTAAATATATACAAGTGACAATGCAGGGGTTGAGCAGCAGAGAGGGGTCTGGATCCAGGCTGTGTGGACTGGCACAGCTCTCCTCCAGGTCTGGATCCAGGCAGATTAGCAGCAGGTCAGAGTCCAGCCCCATGGGAACAGCTTGACAAGGGCTCAGAGACAGCAGAGGGAAAGGGAATAACGGTATTACACTTTCCCCCTGTCAGCATCCCCAATCTCTGCTGCGTGTGCCTCTCCTAGGAGCAGAGCCTGGCACTGTGATGGGGACAGCTTCGGGGCAGGGACAGGGGAAGGCAATGCCAGTCCCAGCGCTGGGCACTACACCTGGCTGCTGCCCACAGCCTGGTTGTAGTGTGCTCCCTGCAGCCCGGCACTGGATGCCAGCCTCCAGGAGCCTGTTCCTGCTGGCTGGAATCTTTGCTCTCTATAGAAAAACAACCTCACACTCCTTTTTAAGGAGCACGGGGAGAAACCTGTGCTTGTCACTCCCCAAAATCCCGTCCGGGATGCAGCACTGTGCCCGGGGGTCCCCTGGGCACAGCCAGGCTCTGCTTTTACAGCTCCGGCTCCATCCCCCTGACCCTGTGGCAACAAATCAGCGCTGCCTTCGCTTTCCCGATGGGATGGACGCTCGCAGCCTGCGTTTTCTCTGAGCTGATTTCCAGCATGGCCTCGCTCCTCGCCGCGCTGGCTGCCTGCAGAGCTGCAGGGCGGGCAGGAGGGCTGCCCATCAGGGAGCCACGCTGACGCATCAGCTCCACCGGCCTCCCCACGGGCTTCGTTAGCACGGCCCCAGTGCCCTGCTGACTGCAGCCAAGGCTTGTGGATGGTTATTGAGAGCCCGTGCTCGTGGCCACCTGCAGAACCAGCCCCATGGCCACTCCATCCATCCTCCTCGAGGATGCAGGCACGGATGCAGGAATGCCCTGTGAGTGCCTCAGTTTCCCCAGAGGGCAGAGAGGATGCGGCTGGCTCCCCTCCTCCTGCGGTGTCAGGTCCGCTTAGCTCGGACAGCCTCTGGATGAGAAACTGTCACACAGTGTGCGCTGGCTCCTCGCCCCACGGCTCCACATCCTGCCCTGCACCTCCCAGCACCGCAGCCCCATAATGGCAATGGTAATCAGAGGAGACTTCTCCCAGCTCCTGGTGCTAGGAGAGCTGATGAATGGGGATGAAGGCTCCTGCACGCTGCCTCACAGCTAAGTGCTTGCTGCCTACAGCCACTTGTCTTCTCCCCTGCTCTGGACAAGGTGCCCCAGGCTCGGCTTCACAGAGCCAGCCCTCGGTCATCGTGCCTCCCCACAGCAAACTCAACACGGAGCTCTGGAAATCCTCCTCTGCCTTTCCACCGAGAAGAAGGCAGCGCAGCCCTGAGCCCCTCACCTGCCCTGGGGGTACCATGCTCTTCTCCTCCACTGAGATCCTCCTCTGTGAACCCCTGCAGCAACGGCTTTGTACGACAGCTCCTAGCCATTACCAAACTGTAGTTAATACAAACAAACGAGATAGGGCAGCCACGGAAGGGTGAGCAGAAATCTGCCGGAATCATTAATTCTGTGTTTTTCTCTTTTCTTCATACTATTAATTTCCTAGAAAGCTAATCAAAGACTGCCTTAGGACCAGAGGTGACTGCGGCTGGGCCGGGTGGCCCCAGGGGAGAGAGCAAAGGCAGGCAAGCAGCCCAGCCCTGTCTATGCTGCCCTGGTTAACAAGCAGCTCTCCTCCTTCTACCTCAGTTTCCCCCTCCCTGGCAGCCACTGCAGCTTCCCACATCACACAGACACGACTATCCATCTTGCCTTCTCCAAGGAGCTTACCTGCCCCTACCGAGGGCTGCCCATCCGCTGAGCCTCTGGGAAACGCCACCGAAGGGGTCCCAGAGAGGGGGCTGAGCCCCAGCCTGGCTGTGGGCCGGCCCTGGGCTGCGGCCCTGAAACGAGCACCGCCAGGCCGGGCAGAGGGAGGAAGGAGCCAGGGTCTGGCTCTTCCCCTGGCACTCGGACGAGCAGTACCTCCGGAGCATCCCTCTGCCCCGGCACAGCCCTCGACACAGCACATCGCTGGTCCCAGCACATTCCTTGTCCCGGGAAGCATCCCTGAGCCTTTCAGGTCTTCTGATCCCAGCACATCCTTGGTCCCCGGAGCATCCCTCAGCACTGCACATCCCCTAATCCCAGCACATCCTTGCACATCCCCTAATCCCAGCACATCCTTCCACATCCCTAACCCCCAGCGGGTCCCTCGATCCCATCGCCCCTCCGCACCCCCGACCCGGGGCGCGCCCCTGCCCCTCGCACCTCCCTCCCTGCGCAGCACCGGGACAGAGCCGCCCCGCACGGAGGAGCCCCGGGATGGGACGTGGGGCTCCAGGGCAGCCCCGACGGGGCGGCAGAGCTCCCCGAGCGCTGGGGAGGAGGCGGCCAGGGCGGAGAGGAGCCCCCCGCCGCCGCGCACCGCCTCCTCCCCGCCGCGGCGGGCGAGGCTCCGCCCGGCTCCCGGGGCCCGCAGCCGGCCGGCACCCACCCTGCGGCGGGCTCCCGCTCGCCCGGACTATGAGGAGCGGGACCAGGCGGGGGGCGGCGGCAGCGGCAGCGGCCCCGGTGCGGCGGGAGCGGGAGCCGGGGAGCCGCCGCCGCCGGCCGGGTCATGCCCGTGTGCCCGGGACGGCGGGGCTGCGGGCTGCGGCGGGATGGGCGCACTCCGGGCCGGCGCCCTCGCCTTCCTCCTCCTCCTCCTCCTCAGCTGCTTCCTGCCCCGGCGCGGCCCGCTCAGGTGAGCGCACGGCGCGGGGGCTCGGCGCTGCGCGTCCCGCGGGGTGCCCCCCACTCGCGGGCCGTGGGGCTGCGGGGACGCTGCTCTCCGCACCGCTCCCGCGGCACCCAGACCCTCATCCCCTCCCAGGGGAGCCACGTTTCCCCGCCGGGACCCGGCCATCATCCCCTCTCGGAGACAGCTCTCCTGCGGGACCCGGGCGTCCCCTCCCAGACCCCACAAACCCGATCCGGACCTCTCTTCAGGGGCTGCTTCCCGCAGCCAGAACCCTCCCAGTCCCCATCCGGACCTCCCCGCAAGCTGCCGGAGCTCCCCCATATCCCTGGGACCCTGACCCAGCACCCCAGGGACCCACCAGACCTTCCCCCTCCAGCCCCAGCCAGGCTCTGTCTGTCCCCAGCAGCCCCGGCCGCGGTGCTGGGTCCCCGCTGATGCCCCTGACCCCAAGCTGGGGACCTTTGCGACGGTGGGAGAAGGGGTGATCCCAGCCAGCTGATGTCCCAGGCAGCTCCTTCTCCAGTGCTGCAAAGTCCCTATGATGCCCAGACCCCCTACTGGATTAGGGTGTTTGGGGGGGCTCAGGACAATCCGTGACCCATTCCCTGTGTCACCCAGGCCAGGGGATGCCCCACATCCCATGGGTGCAGGAACAACTCTTGGCCCACTTGGATGGAATATCCAAAGCTCCCAGGTCCCTTTTTCCCAATCTGGCCATGTTGGGTGCTACCTGGGGCAAGGTGGGATGCAGGGAAGCGGGGGCCAGGCAGGGAGGGGTTGGGGGGCTGCAGCGTTCCAGGGCTGAGCCCTCTCCCTGCCTCCATCCTCCCCCACTACCCAGACAGAGCGGCTGGAGCAGTGAGGGGGAGAACAGCGGCGTCTTTGGTGGGGAGGGGGAAACGGTACCAAAATGTCCTGGTTTCACGTGTGGGGCTGCTTGTCTCGGGGTGGCATTTTTAGCCGGATGCGAGTGTTTCCCAACCCCACTATCCCCTCACTCCACAAAGTGCTGAGCTCCAGGGCCACATTAGTGGCAGAGTCCCCTCGGGGTCAGGACCCAGGGCTGTGCCCAGGGGCTCTGTGTCTGAATGGCCCTGCCAGTGACACCGCTGGAGGTGGCTGCACTGGGGTGTTCCCGCACCCCTGCAGTCCTCAATGTGCGAGCATCGTAGGGGCTGCAGCTCAGCTGAGCCTCCTCAAAGAGCCTTCCTCCCACATGCTCCAGGGGAGAGCCCTCATCTTCCTTTCCAACGGAGGAGGAAACCCGCACAGATGTGTGGCAGGCAGAGGTCTGACTTAACTCCTTGCTCTCCTGGCCTCTCACAGCCCTCCTCCCAAAGGTGCACCTTCCTAATGCAGGTCCTGGAGGGCAAATTTCTCCTGCCAGGGCCAGCATCAGGTTCTCCCTGCCGCCTATCTCCAATTAAGGGAAAACATGCCTGGCTGGATCATTTGGAGATGGTCCCTGTGGCCATTTCTGGCTGGCAAAGGATGCACATAAGCCCCTCCAGGATGAGCCCTGCTCCCCTGAGAGGAAGTAGGAAGAGGTGTGTTGGTAGGAACAAGGAGGTAGGAAGAAGGAGCCCAGGGGGTCCCAGCTCCCAGCATCATCCTCTTGCTTGAGATAATGGGGTTGCAGCTCCAAACAGGAGTAGGACCCACCTGGGCATGGCCCTGGTGGGGTTATGAAGCAGTGTGCAGCAGCACCAGCAGCGTGCTCAAAGCTCCCTCTGTGTCTGAGGTCTCTGGCTAGTTCCTCTCCATCACAGCCATATGCCTGGCAATGTGGTGAGCGAGTGTCTCTCGCATTGTTCCTTGGAATGATCATTATAGACTGATAGAAGGAGAGAAGTTGGCAGGCTGAGATGTGTGCATGAAAACAGCCCCCCAGGGTCAGTTTAAATAAGTCTCCATCATCTTTGGGAGCGCTGCATCGGAGAGATTTTGTCAGTTCCATACCATGGCCAGTGCAGAGGTGGGCTTTGCTGCTCCACTCCTGCCACATCCTCTTGCCTACTGGCAAGGTGTCACAGCCCAGCTGTGCTCCTGGGCACCTCCTCACTCATTCCAGGCCAGCCCATGGTTGTGTCCTCAGGCCCTCCAAACAACGGGTCCCTGCCAGGCAGGGTACGGATGTTTGCTCAGCAGCTCAAGCCAGGGCTGGTGATTGAACCCAGGGGAACCATCCACACTTTGCACCTCCAGCACAGGCACAGAGCCTGGCTGCCGGGCACAAGGCCACTGCCTGCTGTGCCCTGTCCCCACCACAGCCCTGGAGCTGAGAGGAACCTGTCCCCAAACACCCTATCAGGGGACACAGCGGGTAGGGGGACAGGAAAAACACAGGCATGTGGCACTCAGGCTGTGACAGAGAGGGGATAACAGTGGGAGCAGGTCCTGGGTCAGCACACTGATGGCACTGGAGTGGATGCGATGTGGGCACAGCCGCTTCCCTGGGCGCTGGCACTGCAGGGTGCTGAGATGTGCCTGCAGACAGCTCCCCTGCCTCCTCTGCCCCGCAGGCTGGTCTCAGGGCGGGAGGAAATCAAAGCTGCTTCCCGAGGCTCACCCCAGCCCATGTCACCTTCTGATTTCCTGGACAAGCTTATGGGACGAACGTCAGGGTATGATGCCCGGATTCGACCCAACTTCAAAGGTAAGGGAAGGACATGAGGCTCCCAAACCTGGCAGAGACCCACACTTAAGGCTGCCCAAAACCAGGGAATAGGCAAGTGTTGGTAGGACCCTGACCCCCATCCCTCCATCCCAACACCCTCCCTGTGTGCAATCCCAGTGCCCTGCATGTGCCCGCTGTGCGTGGGTATAGTGGGGTTCACACCAACACCCTGTGGGGGGCCCTCAGCAGGCAGGGGATGCTCGTGTGCATCCATTCACACAGTGCACGCAGGAGGGGGTGCTCTGCCCTGTACGTCTCCATGGCCAGCAGCAAGAGGAGGCTTCACCCTGTTTTTCAGGTCCACCCGTCAACGTGACCTGCAACATCTTCATCAACAGCTTCGGCTCCGTCACCGAGACCACCATGGTGAGGGCTTTGCTGGCACAAGGGGGCTCCTGTCCCAGTGGTTCTGACAGTGGGGGGAGCACAGGTCCTGGTGACCAAGCCTGTGGCTGTGTTTACAGGGGTCCTGCGAGCCCTGGCACCCCAGTGGGGACACAGCAAATGGCTGTGGCTTTTCCAGGATCACTCAACCAGAGCCGGGCTTTGTGGGCCCCACTCCTGTGCCTGAGCTGGGTCACAGTGTGGCAGGCTCAGCGGGTGCCATACAACCCAAGCGATCTCTGTGTCCCCATCATCCCAGCCTCCCCGTGTGCATGAGGAAGCCTCAGGGCTGGAAATTCCCTCTTGGTGATGCTGCAAAGCCTTAATGCCATAAACTGCCACATCAGCCCCCTGCAGAGCCCTGCAACAAACACTGCAGGCAGCAGCTGCTGGTCCTCCTCCTCCTCCTCCCAGCGCTCTGTCTTTCATGTCAATAGCATGGGAAGGCTCCTGACCTGCCCCTGCCCGCCCGTGGTTAGTGCCAGGCAGGCAGCTCCTGCAGGGCTGAGGCCCCTCCACCTCCTTCTCCATCCCACCTTCCCCTTCCATCTCCTCCTCCTCGAGCCCTATGAGGTGCTCACAGCTGACGTGGTGCCCCCCGCCCCAGGACTACCGGGTGAACGTGTTCCTGCGGCAGCAGTGGAACGACCCCCGCCTGGCTTACCGCGAGTACCCAGACGACTCCCTGGACCTCGACCCCTCCATGCTCGACTCCATCTGGAAGCCAGACTTGTTCTTTGCCAACGAGAAAGGGGCCAATTTCCACGAGGTCACCACCGACAACAAGCTGCTGCGCATCTTCAAGAACGGCAACGTGCTCTACAGCATCAGGTAGGACCCTGCTCCTCCGGTGCGGTGCCTGGGCAGGGAGGTGAAGCTTCCCTTTCATTCCCCCTGCCAACTGGCCCAGCCCCCAGCAACCCCCTCATTTTCTCTGCCTCCTCCAGGCTGACTCTGATCCTGTCCTGCCCCATGGACCTCAAGAATTTTCCCATGGACATCCAGACATGCACCATGCAGCTGGAGAGCTGTGAGTACCTGGGGGGGGTCAAGCTTTGCTTTGCCCCCTCCATCACCTTCCATCCCATCCATCCGAGGGAGGTGAACAGGAAGGAATGATCATTCAGGGTGGGGATGAGCAGGGTGCCTCTTCCACCATGTCCCATGGCTCCTTCCATTCCCGCCAGTTGGCTACACCATGAATGACCTCATCTTCAAGTGGTTGGAGGAGCAGGAGGCCGTGCAGGTGGCAGAGGGCTTGACGCTTCCGCAGTTTATCCTCAGGGATGAGAAGGACCTGGGCTATTGCACCAAGTACTACAACACAGGTAGGGGGCCTCAGGGACCTGCTGCCACCCTTTCGCCATGTCCCAAGGGTCCCTCTCACCCATCAGGCTGCCATTCCTATAGGCAAGTTCACCTGCATCGAGGTGAAGTTCCACCTGGAGAGACAGATGGGTTACTACCTGATCCAGATGTACATCCCCAGCCTGCTCATCGTCATCCTCTCCTGGGTCTCCTTCTGGATCAACATGGATGCGGCACCGGCCCGGGTGGGCTTGGGCATCACCACTGTGCTCACCATGACCACACAGAGCGCTGGCTCCCGCGCCTCCCTGCCCAAGGTCAGTGCCGGCTCCATGCTGGGCTCTTGAGCTGCAGCCTGACCAGGGAACATGGGCTGCCCTCAGCGTCCCAAGGGCAGCATTCCCTTGGGGATGGCTGGCTCCATAGCCTGGACAGCTACGCAGTGAGCAGGAACATGGTGCTGCTCGGCTGGGCAAGCTCTGACCCGTGTGTCCTACCTAAGAGGGCCTCTGTGTCCCTTGCAGCGGGGTGAAGTGGGGAGGGACAAAACGAGGCAGGGGGCAGCAGGTCCCTGAGCCCCATCACATCCCCGCAGGTCTCCTATGTGAAGGCCATTGACATCTGGATGGCCATTTGCCTGCTCTTTGTCTTCGCTGCCCTGTTGGAGTACGCAGCTGTCAACTTCGTCTCCCGCCAGCACAAGGAGTTCATGCGCCTGCGCCGGCGCCAGCGGCGCCAGAGAATGGTGAGTCCTTCCCACCATGGACATCTGCCCATCCTCAGCCACTGAGGGGACAGCCTGGGGCTGCAGGGACCGTTTAGCACAGGACAGGGCTGTGTCCCACTGCCCAGGGCTTGCAGCCAGCCCCTCTGGCACAACAGGGACCCAGGGGCATCGCAGTGCTTCTGCCTGCCTGAGCAGCACAGTGCAGAGCACCCATGGGTGCCCCAGCACAAACACACCCATGGTGCCATCCTCCTCCTGCCAGCACATCCTTGGGTTCTGCTTCTCTAAAGAAGCAGAACAATTAGCTGCAAGGGTGGGTGAAACAGCCTTTCCCCTTACCTGCAGCATCAATGCTGGGCTCCTCACTGTGGTGAGGGTGATGAAGCATCAAGGGGACCTGGCAGCGTCCAGGGACAGGGTCTGGGCTGCAGAAGGGAATGCAGCAGGTCCTGGAGAGGAAGGGTTCCACGCTGCAGGACAACCCTCTCCTCCATCAGCCCATCAGGGGAAGACACGTGGCTCCCCCACTCTCATTTCCTCACCATAACCACACCATGAGGCACCAGACCTCCGTGGAAAACACAAGTACACACACACCACATGGGCTCGCAGCGTCCTGTGCAGCCAAACCCCTTCAGCACATGCTAAAGATGGATCCCAGTGTCTGGGCAGGCCTGACACACAGAGCACCCATCTCCACCCCCCATCCCCATCCCGGTGCCCTAAGCCCCTGTCCCCGGGGCCGGGGCAGAGCCGTGGGTCACCCATTGTCCTGTTTCTGTTTGGTGCTCACTGTGGGACACCAAAAGGTCCTGAGCAGCGGCACGGGCAGCCTGGAGTCCCTGCGGCAGGCGAGCGGCCGGCACGGCGGCGAGCACACCTACACGACGCTCTCACAGCTCTCCAGCTCCCGGGTAAAGCACAAGCCCCCAGCAGCGCCCCACAGGGCAGAGCACCCCCAGCCAGCCTCACCCCCGTTACCCAAAGCAGCTCCCTGCAGGAGCTGGTCCCAGCGGCTTGGAAGAAGCAGGGCAGTGATTTATTTGCCGAGCGCGTGTGCCCATAGGATGGAGCTGCTGCTCCCTGGGCTGAAAACAGGTTTGAGAGTGGTGGGAACAGGTTTGAGCTGTGGAGGCACCCCCATGCTGGGCCTCAGTTTGCCTTTCCATAAAGCAGGAGCAGCACAGCTCCCTTTGCAGAGGGGCAAGTGATGCTGGGGCAGACTGATGGCTGCTCCTGGGCTGTGCTCATCTCTAGCAGGGTGAGGACTCTGCCTGGCCTGGCACAGGCAGGTTTGAGACACTTGGCTGTCCCAGGCCTCCTCTCCACCACCCATAGCCCTTGGATGCCAGGAGAGGCTTCCCAGCTTTCAGTAGCATATTCCCTTACTCCTTGCCTTTCACAGCCCCTGAGCATGGCTACCAGAGATGAGCACCCACCAGCCAGGGCAGGGAAGTGGGGAGCTCTGCTGAGCCCAGGAACCATGTGCTGGCTTAAACCAGACCAAAGCGCAGCTGCCCTGGGGTGTAGCACCGCAGGGATGCACCAGGAGCGTCCAGAGATGCTGCACAGACCCCACAAAGCCGGGCTCGGGAAGTTCCTTGCACCCAGCCCCAATAAGCACAGCGGGGCTGCCCCAGCCCAGGGGGGACCCATATGGGAGGAGCAGCACTCTCAGTCTGGATCTCCTCCCCCGGATGCCCTGCTGTCTGTCTGTGCCGAGGGAATAGCTGCAGCCTCCTCACCGCGTTCCCCAGGGCGGCTGCAAGCGCTTAGCCTAGGGCAGGAGACTAAAACCCTGCTGCAAATGCGAGCTAATCTCAGCAATTTGAGCTGGTGCTGCTCTTCCCACCGAGAGATCTTGCTTAGCTGGTGGATTGCTGAGTTAAATAAAGATGCCAGAGCGCACGCTCTCCGCATGACAGCCCCCTTGCCGGCTGAGCGCCTGCGGGGGCTGAGCGCAGCGAGGAGGCTCAGTGCCCCTCCGGATGGCATTGGGGATCCAGCACCAGGGCTGTGCACGGCCAAGGCATGAGGCACGGAGCCAGCCTGCAGCACTCCCTAAGAGCAGGGACCCACCGCAACCACATACGGCACCAGTAGGGAGGGGAGGCGGGTGAGACATAGACCAAATGAGTGCCCCGGGGGCTCGGCGAGAAGAGAGGGAATGAAGGCTTGTACGTGCTGGTCCCTTGCCTAATCTTTGCGCACACAGCTTCCCCCGAGGATAAACGAGTGTGATGAGGAAAGGGGCTGTCAGCGGGGAGGAGCGTGGCCGGTACCCGAGGGGCTGCGAGGGCAGCGGGGCTGTGCTGTGAGTGATGGCCCACGGGTGAGGGCGGGCACCCGGCTCTCATGGCATTCGTGGAGGCTTGATCATGGGCATGCAGCCCCGTGGGCATGGTGTCCTCCCTGCAGCACCCACCAGCTTAGAGCAGGGGTGGGGTGAGCAATAGCAGAGAGAGCAGCAAGCAGTCCAGCTCTCTCATCCTTCCTCCTCTGCTGCACCGGGCAGCTCCTGCCAAGCTCCTACAGGGAGAAACATGTTCTGGGACCTTGGATTGACTGAGGGGCCCTGCAAGCCCTGGTGGCAGCCAGGCTCCTGCATCCCTGCCCAGCTGTGCTCCAGCAAGCTGCCTGCCCACTTCTGTTCACCAGCACAAGCACGCTTGCACCCTGCTGTCACAGCACTGCCCGCACCCCCAAGCTCCCAGCACCCCAGTGCACTCTGTACTCTTATGCCCTGCACCCCCATGTATCCAAACCACTCCTTCCAGTTTACCTCTGTTCCTGGAGCTGCCGGAGAGCCGGGCTTCCCAAGGCCTCTAGCCAGGGCTGGGAAGAGGCTGTGGCGATCAGTGTGGGGATGCCAGGGTTGGGGTTACCCTTGGATGCACCCTTAAAACACATGTCGGATGAGCAGCACGCACACTGCTGCCTGCCTCTGCCTGCAGCCTGCTGGCCCCATGCTTTCAGACATCCCTGTTCAGTTTGGGATGCCTGCAATAGCACCTAACCTTGTGCTGTGCACTTCCATGATTGTATTGCCCAGCGGGTGGGTGCATAGGACATGCAGCCACAAGCTCCTGCTCACCCTGCAGCACCGGCACCCACAGGGTGACAGCCTTTCCCTTCTCCAGGAGGAAGAGCTCGTCCGTGAGAGCCGCTTTTACTTGCGAGGCTATGGGCTGAGCCACTGCCTGCAGCCGAAGGATGGGGCTGGGGAGGGCCCCGGCATCTACAGCCCCCCCCCAGCCGGGATGCTGCTGCGGGAAGGGGAGAGCCTCCCCCGGCGCTACATCGACCGGGCCAAGCGCATCGACACCATCTCCAGAGCTGTCTTCCCCTTCACCTTCCTGGTCTTCAATATCTTCTACTGGGTCGTCTACAAAGTGCTGCGCTCAGAGGACATCCACTCTGTGCCCTGAGGGCTGGAAAAGCAGGACTGCCTCTTGGTCTGCCCCCTCAGTGCGCGTGGGTGCCATGAGCTCAGCCAGAACCATGTTTCCCTCTGTCCTGGAGCAGTGGCACAGCCAGGCTGGGCCTCAGAGCCTGAACATATGGCAGCCCCCATGTCCCTTTGGATGCTGGGGCACTGAGGAGGTGGGGACAGCAACCCCAGGTTTGAAAAAGGAACCCTTCCTGCCTCCTGCATGGCATCAACTCTGGGCACCCAGGGATGCTGTGCTGCTGGGGAGCCTCAGGTACCCAGGGATGCTGTGCTGCTGGGGAGCCTCAGGTACCCAGGGATGCTGTGCTGCTGGGGAGCCTCAGGTACCCAGGGATGCTGTGCTGCTGGGGAGCCTCAGGTACCCAGGGATGCTGTGCTGCTGGGGTGCCTCAGGTACCCAGGGATGCTGTGCTGCTGGGGAGCCTCAGGTACCCAGGGATGCTGTGGTGTTCAGGAGCCTCAGGTACCCAGGGATGCTGTGCTGCTATGGTACAAGGGAGCTCCTGGTACTCCGGGATTCTGCACAGCTGGTGATCAGCAAACACCACCTTCCAATCAAACACCCCCCACCTCTTCCATGTCAGGCTGCTGCTTCTCCAGGCTGCATCACTGGGCCATGGGCCACAAGCAGCCAGATGAGAAGCTGCAGTTCCCTATGGGTTGCAGGTAAAAGCAAGCAGCACCCCTGCCTGCACCTGGACTGTGTGTGGTGCTGGCTATGGCCCCATAGCCCCCAGTCCATCAACAGACAGGCCCCCAGCCAGCTCCAGCACACAGCAATGCAGTGGGTCAGGGATGCTTCCTTCCCTGCAGAGTCCAAGGCTGCCAATGGCTGTGGCAGGGCTGTGGCAGGGACACTGAGCAGGAGGCTCCGTTTCTGCTGGGAAAACACCAGCCCTGGGGCAGCAGTAGGGGAGCCTGAGGTCTCGCTGATGGTGAAGGGGCACAGATGGCCGTTGCAGCTGCTGATGGGTACCACTTGGCACCAGAGAGCTGGCACTGCACTGCCTGCAGGGTAGGGCCCACCGCCCATCTGATGATGGGATGAAAGTAATGGGGGTAGCTGCAGCAGTGCCTCTGGAGGAATAGTGAGTGGTGGCACCCCCAGACCGCTGCATTCCCGCAGCCCCACGGTGCCAGCAGAGAGCCTGAGGTGAAAACTGCTCCGTTCCCCTGCTTCCTCTACACACTGGTGCTCGGGTGCAGCATTCCCTGGGCAAGTTCGCCCCTGCTGCTCCTCCACTGGAGAGGAGAGCATCTGAAACCTCGACAAGACAAGCTCAGCAAGGCTGCCAGCCCTCCAGACCTGGATATCCTTCATGCTTAGCAGGAAATAAAAGCAGTAGGTGATGTTTATGTAGGTCCTACAGACAGAAATGTGTTGATGCTCTCCTTTGCCCCTGCTCACAGCCAGCCTGGGCAGACCCGCATCCCGGCAGGGTCTGTCCCTCCACGGCCCCAAGTGCAGGAGAGGGCCCAGGGTCTTGCAGGCAGGTCAGCATGGAAATGGGATTCACCCTTTTCCTTGGAGACTGTACTATGGCATGGCAAGGGCCCCAGTGACCTACCTGTGATGGCAAAAGGGGCTCTGTGGGGCAGGGGGACATGGGTAGGAGGCCAGCACTGCTTGCAGAAGCCATACCTGGACAGAAACCCCCACCACGGCCATTAGGGACCCCGCTCCTCGGGCAGGCATCACCCTCTCCCTGCATGACTTCAGGGAGCAAAGGCTCCCCCCCCTCACTCCCTCAACCCCTCAGTCCCAGCTGCATGCACCCATTTCACAGACAGGACAAGCAGAGGAGAACCAGCCCAGGCCATGCCCAGAACCCACCAGGATGGGCTGAGCCAGCTCCATCCATCCCATTGCCACCGCTGTGCATGCCGTCATGGGGGTCACCGTGGGGCTGCACTGTGTGTCCGGGCCAGGCTTTCGAGCCTTGGTTTTGGGGAGAGGCCCCATTTGGAGGTGGAGGAAGGGGTGCACCTCTTGTCCTTGGCTCACTCAGCCCTGGCCCCCCGAGGCAGTGCTGAGCAGAGGTGCCAGCGGGCACCCAGCACTCGCAAGCACTGGCAGCCCATCCACCCTCCAGCAGCGGTGGGTTTTTAAACAGCATCAACCTTCCTACGTACAGACATGAATAAATAAAGCCTTTCTGGGATTTTCAGTGGTGTGCTGGGGGTTTGTGTCTGCCAAGGACCCCGCGGCCAGCTCCAGCATCCCTCACATGTGGGGGGGATGCAGGGATGAAGGCACAACAGCCCTGTGGGGACAGCCCTGCAGTTACACCCAGATGTTGTTATTACACCCAGCTACCCTCGCCTCCACACGTGTCCTTTCTGACATGGTGGTGACTGTCGGGTTTTATCTCACTCATAGGAGATGCCACAGAGGTGGGCAGGAGCCCCCCATGAATTCCTACTCCCAAACCCCATCACTTCACCCCCCAGCGCCAGCTCTGTGGGGTGCTTCCGCAGCTCTTTTCACCCTGACCAGGGGACAGGACCCACAACGGGGCAGATGTGGGGCTGGAAGGGGGGCTCCAGCTCCACACTGGAGCTCAGACACCCGGACATGGGCGAGCACCCCAAGGGCTGAACCTCCCTGCACGGCCCCTTAGTGCCAGCCCGCTGGGCAGGCGCCAGCCTTACAGCGCTGCCAGCTGTGCTGGGGGGGTTGGGGGGCTTATGCCAGCCCCACAGTGCCCCCAGTGCCACCCGGGGCCGGCGCTGTTGTCCCCAGCTGGCGCAGGGGCAGGCAGAGCCCGCAGCTGAGGGCTGCGCTCCCGAGCAAGCATCAATCTCCCTCTGTCCTCCCAGCCAAGCGGCTCTGTTGGTACCTCGCAGCCCTGTCGCCCGCCTGGGCTCTGCTGGGGCAAGGAGGAGAGAAAGCAAGGTGCACCCATGGTGGTGTTCTCTAAATGGGACAAATCAACCCCCCCCCCCCCCATGAGGTCTGGGTGCTGCACCCACCCCAGACATCGAGAGGATGCAGCTGAGAGGACCAGCGTGGTGTGCCCAGTTTCTGCACTCTCTGCTCGCCTTTCTCTTCCTTACCAAACAGGTCTGGGCAGCCTGCATCTGTTTGGAGATAAGTGCTGGGGTCTGCCCTAAGCCACCTGGCTCTGGGAATTGGCACCTCCTGGGAAATGGAAGTGGTAGAACACCCTTTCCTTAAGATAAAGCCCCTCGGTAGGGCTGCCAGTGCCCTCCAGCACACAGCTCCAGCAGATCCCTGCGGAGAGCAGCTGTGCCCAGGCTGGAGGTGCTGAGCCCCAAGCCCTCCTGCAGGTCACAGCAAGGCCAGAGGCCAACTCAGGTAGTTCTGTCCCCTACCTTTGGATGGATTTGACTTTCCATTTCCTGCCAGAGGCTGTGCACTTGGGGACACATCCCAGCCACCATGGGAAGCAGCTGTGGGCATGGGACCAACACCCCTGGCCAGGTTAATGGCTGGTTTAAATAGAAGTTAATGGAGTTCCAGCAGGGTAACGGGACTCCCAGACAGTAAAATGAGCATCATCAGCTTCCTGACAGCAGCATGCCCAGTGCTGGGTGGCCACAGGCACACACACAGGTTTGGGCAGCATGGCCCCTCATCAGCCCCAAGGGCTCCCTGGGGCACCTGCATGGGGCCAAGGAATCACAGATTGGTTTGGGTCGAAAGGGACCTTAGAGCTCCCCCAGCTCCAACCCTGCCATGAGCAGGGACACCTTCCACTAGAGCAGCTTGCTCCAAGCCCTGTCCAGCCTGGCCTCGAACACTGATGTCAGCCAGGCTCCCCTGCCAACCACAGAGGGTTTGATCCTGCTGGAGCCAAGCTCTGCTGCTGTGCTTGGAGGCACGGCAATGCCAAACCTTTCCCCTCCCTCAGCAGGGGCTCCAGCCCTGTCCGCAATCCACCCCATCCACATGGACCGATGCCTGCTGATGCTGTGTGGGACAGCAGGTTTGGAGCCCAGCGAGTTCCCTGCAGCAAGAAGAGCAGCAGGTTACCAGGGCTCTGAGCACCCCATGCCCTTCACACACTGCCCAGGTTTGGGTTTTCTAAAGGCAAACACCAAGCTCCAAAGTCAGCAACGAGTCCTGAGCGAGCCAGGGACAGTGAGTAGCAAGTGAAGCACCAGGAGCTGCACTGGCAGCGTGTGCCGCTGCAAGCCGGTCATGCCATAAAGCATGGGGCCCTCACAGGACCTTGGAGACGCTGTGGGTCAGGATCCATCCACCACAGGGAAGGTGCAGGTGTGGGGCACTCACACAGTGCGGCTGTGCCGGCCCCGAGCCCTCAGCACAGCTTTGCCAGTGCTGTCCCCTGGGCAGAGGAGCCCCAGGAGCCAAAGGGCACTTTGCCCCAGCACAGCCCTGCCACCTAAGCAGGAGCATCACCGCAGCCCATCACCTCCACCAGCGCCCTGCTAAACCCCACAGCCACATCCACGCCCCTGGCATTGCTCTGGGGCCAGCCTGCACATACACAGGCCATGGGGCACCCCACGTGCTCCCCAGCCCAGCGGGTGTTCGTGAGACAGGTACCTCCATGGGCAGGCAGGACCCCTGGGAAGGGGCAGTGAGGGAAGGCTGGAAGGTGGAAACCAGCAGGGATCAGCCCTGCAGTGCTCCTAAACTGTGGGATAGGGGAATATGGGAAAACTGCATGGCTCTGGGCTGTGGTTTTACACAAGAAAAAACAAAGCATTGAGGTTTTCCAGCCCCAGAGTGGCTTGTTTTGGCCGACTCGGAGAAGCCTCTGCGCTTCAGCCCCTCAAGGGGCAGGGGGAGGACCCCAACACTGAAACAAGGAGCAATTATCAAACCACGGGCTCTGAAGAGCTTTTGTCCCCTGGCGGCTGCAGCGCAGGGATCGGAGGACACCTAGCGAAGTGCCTCGATGGCCTCACACACCAGCGGCACCCAGAGGCCAAAGATGGGGCAGCCCCGGCCCTGCAGCGGCCGCATCCTGCTCCCATCTTCCTGCTGGGGCAGGAACCGCGATGAGAGCTCCAGTAGGGCTGCAGGGGCTGATCCAGCCCTGGGGGAGATCCACAGGGGTGAAGAATCAGCTCCTTTCCCATTTTCCATTGCCCTGGCAGTGAGAGCCTCCATGCTCCCAATAGGCCACACGTGCTGCTGCTGTGTGAATCCTACAAACACAAGCATTAAATCTGGGGCTCATCTCAGAAACGCTGACGGGGATGCAGGTGCCCCTTACAGCTTCCCGAGTCCTGCTGACACCAGCACTGCCCAGTCCCAGAGGTTCACATCTCAACTCCCAGTCAAGCTGATTGTACCGGTGCAAATAGGGCAATGCCCAGTTACTATGATTTGCGTGAAGAGAGACCATAGTCTTTGAGTGCAAAGATCTGCATGGGCACAGGCACCCCAGGCAGATGTGCTGAATCCCACCCTGCAGGGATCCCACAAGCAGGCAGAGCAGCAGCAAACAGCCTGGCCATACCCATTACCCCATGCATCAGCCTCTTGCCAGTGCTGGATAGCTTCAGTTTGACCCTTGTATCCCTGCAAGAGGAGATCCAAGCTTTGCAGAGACCCCATTCCCCTTCATTACCTCCCAATTTACAGCACCATAAACCACCCTGAGCTCATGGCAGAGACCCCTCCAGCCCCTCAGTGCAGCCGGAGCACTGGAGAGCCCTGTGCTCTGACACCTCCCTCAGCCAGGCTGCTGTCTGCAAAAACACTGTGACACCAAAGCCTTCCTCCTCCACTGGTGCTGGACAAGCTGCCATGGTTAGCTCAAGGTAGGAGGCAAAGCAAGGAAGACGAACCCAGCAGTGTGTCTCGGAGGGGTGAAGGCAGTTTGGGGGCAGCAGTGCCTACCACGCACACTAAGAAGAAACAGTTTATATCTTTATTATGTGTACACCCATTATAATTCCACGGAACGCCCACTCAATACTTGTTACCCGCTGTGTATGGTAATCGGGGTAGATAAAACTGTGCTGCAGGCAGGGTGAATTTTGAGGAGTGGTCTCTGGAGGTCATAGATGGTCGTTTGGGGAGAAATACCCCCACTCATTGTATCCTCTGATGGAAACGCATTAGTTAAGGACATCGGGATGTGTGTTTAGTCCTGCCAATTAACAACACGTTCTCACTTGGTCTAATTTACAACCCCGAGTGGCCCCCCCAGTTGTTTTCTTCTGCAGCCATTTACCAGTTTCTCCGTCCAAGTCCATGTGCAGTGAAACACCGATGCAATTCGGTACCAACCGAAACCGGATTTAACCCAGCACCACCGCACTGCGCCGGGCACCGGAGCAGCACTTCACCTTCCTCATGTGACCGCCACTCCACATGACTCCCGGATAGGGGGCGGGCCGCGGTGCGACGCGCTCCCCCGTGATTGGCGGGAAGGCGGCGGGCGCAGCGGGGCGATTGGCTGTCGGGATAGCGCGTCACCGCGGTGGCGGCGATGGCGGCGATGGCGGCGGTGCGGCGGGCGCTGCGCTGGGCGCTGCTGTCAGCCGCGGCCGTGGCGGCGGTGCTGGCGCTGGACAACGGGCTGGCGCGGACGCCGCCGATGGGCTGGCTGCACTGGGAGCGCTTCCTCTGCGGCACCGACTGCGGCACCGACCCGCACCGCTGCGTCAGGTACCGCCGGCCGGGTGCCCCCCGGGAGCGCCGGTACCCGCACCGGGGGGTCAGGGCAGGGGGCAGCGGCACAGTGCGGTGCTCTGCGGGCTTAGCCCGGTGTGTTCCCTCACTCCTCCGCAGTTCCACCCTGCCCCTTGGGGAGTCATAGAACGGTTTGGGTTGGAAGGGACCTTAAGATCACCCGGTTCCAAACCCGTGCCATGGATTTGTGGTATCGATGCTTGACGTGTGGCTGCCACGTTCTCTGCTTTCGTTCCCCGTGCCCAGCGAGCGGCTCTTTGTGGAGATGGCCGATGTGATGGTTGCTGAGGGCTGGAGGGACGCAGGCTATGAGTTCATCTGCATTGATGACTGCTGGATGGCCCCGACGCGGGATGAGCACGGCAGGCTCCAGGCTGACCCAAAGCGGTTCCCCAGCGGGATCCGCAAGCTGGCTGACTACGTGAGTGCCACCCGTCACGGTGCCCGCAGTGATGGCAGGCAGGGACCTGACCTGCAGCCGTGCTGGGAGCAGGGGAGGAGAGGGAAGGCGGGATGGGGAATGGCTGTGTA